AACTGAATCATGAGGCGGCCTGTGTGCAGCACATTCAGCTGGAGAACATCATAAACGAGAGATTCAATTGAGTCTCCTGTGAAAACCAACTTGATTTGCAGATGAGTGTATTTCTCAAACAGTCCAATTAGGGTTCAAGTAGGACATAAGGAAACTCGGGGACTGTGCCCAACTGATGGCTCCAAGAAGGGTGAAACCGATCGTGGGCTGTCAAAGAGTTTTCAGCAACCTTGTGAGTAGTTTGGTGAGGTTGTCCAAATCGTGAAAGCCAGTGCAAGGGCACAATGTTTCAAACTTTATTTCTTTTCGCCTTTTCTTTCCAGACAACTGTACACTATGCACAATCTCCTAGTAGGCCCTATTTCTGTGGGAAATTCGGATCATTTTGCAAAGGATAGACGAATTTATTACTAAAAATTCAGCACATAGTCTGTCAAGTTATAATGAACGGAGTGGTAATAGGTAGTTCACCAGTTGGTCACTTGTGATTGTGTATTATGTGTGTGGACGCAGACCTGCATTCTATGAGAAAGAGAAAGAACAAGGATAACGAATTCCGGGAAACTCTTGGAAATAGCTCGAGTGACTGTCACCGGATCCACTATGATAAGATGTTGTTAAAGATATGGCCTTGAGGTTCCCTCAAGTGATGTAACACAATTACTCTCCCTTGGGCCAAAAAGTAGAAGGCCCTCAGCGGGACGAGAAGATCGCTCACTGAGAATCCAAACACTTTTCAGTTGATTACTAGCCGCCGGCCAACAGTCTCATTGAGTATTTACTGTGTACTCCAACAAACACGCGGCTTCCTTTAGGCAGTCACTTGTTTTGTCCACACTGTCTACAGATATTCGGAATTCAATGAGAGCAGGTCCAAGATTGTTGAAACACCCATTAAAAGGCGTCGAGTCCAGGGGACCCTCTTAATGTTGATACTGGTCTCAGCGCATCTGCTTCAAAAATACTGCCGCACGACCGAAGGAATTTGTATCGGGGTAACACTAAAGCCATGAATGTCATTTAACCATAATTAATGGGAAAACTGTGGATAGAGGTTGTTTGGAACCATAAGAAAAACTCACCTTTGTTTGCGTGCATATATAGTCCAGCTCTGAGACCAGTTATGAAATCGTCGATTATGGTGAAGTCTTGATTTTGAACCGCGCTACATACCTGTCATTTTGAATGGAATATAAAAAGACTGATATAGAGGACACATGCGTTCCAAATGCGTCTTGTCCTACAGAGTGCGGACAATGACGCGCATAGCAAAAGTGGCTTTTAGGCAGTATAACAAATTACGTTCTACTATATCACACACGAAAAAATACAATTTGACTACATCATGTGTCAAGATTCACAGGAAGAGCTCCCCTATTTCTTGTTAGCGATGTGCAAAATCACGTGTTATTACTACAGAACCACCAGGTGCGTTGTACAGATGTACTACTGCGACCTAGGGAAGAGCAAGCCTATATCACAGAGCAAACCTTGTTGCTCAAGGCCATATTGATCAGCTGATTATCCTGTTGGTGTGACCGGGCACATATATATATATATATATATATA